TTTTTTTTTTTTTTAGTTTTATTCATTTCAAACGGGCCGAATCCGGCCCGCGGGCCGTAGTTTGCCCACGGCTGTACTAGACTGAGACAGAGTTCGATTGCCAAGCAGTGACCATACCCAGTCAGAGCAGGGCCCAGGCCAATCTTTTCCCCTCTGGATACCCAGCCCTCAGAGCAGTATCTGCCACATCATAGTAAGTGCTTAATTCACTCCGGCTGCATGAACACCTGGGGAGAGGAGTGTTCGAGGTCCAAAAACCTTATTTACTGGCTCTGCCACCTTGAACAAGTTATTTGATTTATTTCAGCATCAGTCTCAGCTGTAAAATGAGGAGAGCAGCCAGAACCGGTTTGGCTCAGTGGATAGAGTGTTGGCCTGTGGACTCAAGGGTCCCGGGTTCGATTCCGATCAAGGGCATGTACCTTAGTTGCGGGCACATCCCCAGTGGGGGGCATGCAGGAGGCAGCTGATCAATGTTTCTCTCTCATAGATGTTTCTGGCTCTCTATCTCTCTCCCTTCCACTCTGTAAAAAAATCAATAAAATATATTTTTAAAAAAATGAGGAGAGCAATATCTACCTCATCCTATATAATAAAAGAGAAACATGCAAATTAGCCGTCCCTCTGCTATGCTCAAGCCACGCCCACCAGCTCTCAGCGGCCTGACAGCCAGGACTCTCATTCACCTGCATCTCAGACCGTGACAGTAGAGAGTTGGGACTACGTCTAAAGAACACCTGTTGATACAACGTAGCTCTGATGCCAAAAAACACCAGCGTTATCGACAGAAAGTGTCTCCAGAGCAGCGTGCCTTTGAAGTTGAAAGAAGGCAGTGGCGACGACAGAATATGTTGAGAGAAAAGTCATCAACAAGTACTACCAATATGCAATTCTCGGACATAGTTGTGGTGGAAAGACTGTTCGATGTGAATTTTGCCTATCACTCAATTTCTCAGATGAAAAACCATCCGATGGGAAATTTACTCGATGTTGTAGCAAAGGGAAAGTCTGTCCAAATGATATACACTTTCCAGATTACCAGGCATATTTAAAAAGAGTAATTACAAAGGAAGATTCTGACAGTAAAAATGTCATGGAAAATATTCGTTCAATAAATAGTTCTTTTGCTTTTGCTTCAGTGGGTGCAAATATTACATTGCCATCAGGATATGGGCCATACTGTTTTAGAATACACGGACAAGTTTATCACCGTACTGGAACTTTACATCCTTCGGATGGTGTTTCTTGGAAGTTTGCTCAACTCTGTATTTTGGATACAGCCGAAGCTACAAGTAAAAGATTAGCAATGCCAGCAAACCAGGGCTGCTCAGAAAGACTCATGATCAACATCAACAACCTCACGCATGAAATAAATGAATTAACAAAATCATACAAGATGCTACATGAGGTAGAAAAGGAAGCCCAATCTGAAGCAGCAGCAAAAGGTATTCCTCCCACAGAAGTAACAATGGCGATTAAATACGATCGCAACAGTGACCCAGGTAGATATAATTCTCCCCATGTAACCGAGGTTGCTGTCATATTCAGAAACGAAGATGGAGAACCTCCTTTTGAAAGGGACTTGCTCATTCATTGTAAACCAGAGCCCAATAATCCAAATGCCACTAAAATGAAACAAATCAATATCCTGTTTCCTACATTAGATGCAATGACATATCCTACTCTTTTTCCACATGGTGAAAAAGGCTGGGGAACAGATATTGCATTAAGACTCAGAGACAACAGTGTAATCAACAATAATACTAGACAAAATGTAAGGACACAAGTCACACAAATGCAGTAGATGGATTTCATCTCTCTGTGCGAGACACATTCAATCCTATTTTAAATGCAGGAAAATTAACTCAACAGTTTATCATAGATTCGTATTCAAAAATGGAGGCCAATCGGATGAATTTCATCAAAGCAAACCAATCTAAGTTGAGAGTTGAAAAATATAATGGTTTGATGGATTATCTCAAATCTAGATCTGAAAATGACAATGTGCCGACTGGTAAAATGATAATACTTCCATCATCTTCTGAGGGTAGTCCCAGAAATATGCAGCAGCGATATCAGGAGGCTATGGCAATTGTAACAAGGTATGGCAAGCCCGATTTATTCATAACCATGACGTGCAACCCCAAATGGGCAGATATTGCAAACAATTTACAAAACTGGCAAAAAATTGAAAACAGACCTGACTTGGTAGCCAGAGTTTTTAATATTAAATTGAATGCTCTTTTAAATGATATCTGAAAATTCCATTTCTTTGGCAAAGTAATAGCTAAAATTCATGTCATTGAATTTCAGAAACGTGGACTGCCTCACACTCACATATTATTGATATTAGATAGTGAGTCCAAATTACGTTCCTCTAATTAATTCCCTTTCAATGTGCACAAATTTCGTGCACTGGGCTACTAGTGGTAATTATAAGTTAAAAAGGAACATATATTTAGCACACTTTCTGGTACATAGTAAATGTCCCATAACCATTTGGGCTATTATTATTATTATTCCACAATGTTAATACAAATCCTCAATGATGGATCCAAAATACTAAAGATCAGAATTTTCAAGTTAAAACAGTACACATAGCTATAGAAATATATATATATATGTATATATATATATACACACACACATACATATATGTGTGTGTGTGCACACCTTTGAACAGAATTTGGGACAGCAACCCACAATCAAACATATTCATACTTTTGCAGTGAAATACATCCTAAGCAAATAAAGACTATACTGTAACAGTTGCACCTCAGTTCACAAGTGAAAAACACTAAATCTCCAGAGCTTTGGGGATTCTAAAACTGAAGAAAGGGCTATGGGACTATACTCACAAAAAGCACTGGTGTTTGTTCGCACAAGGCCCACTAAGTGTGCAGGTGACTGCAGTGTTGCCTGAATAAAAGTTGTCGAGATTAAGTAGGAAAGCTGCTCAGCATAAGTTTCCCTCATTCCCTCGAGCTGCCACAGCCCAGAAAATGTCACCTTGTTTGTCTGAGAAATAGTGTATAAGTTCTTGGCCAACGCGTAGTCATTTCCCCACATCCTTCTGCAACACCTGTGCCAGGCAGGACTCCATGCGAGGCTCCAGGGTGAATTAAAGAAAAACTCTACTTGCAAGTGCTATTCTGAAAAAACTAGTCAATCTTCAAAATCTTGGATTCCTCCTGGCAGCGCTACTACTCTCTTCTGTCTTCCCACCAAATCCTGGGAATCTCCATTACTGCACACACTATCCTGTAACCATTTGCTTCTTTATCAGTGCTCACCCCCACCTAGACTCTGAGCTCCTTGAAGGCAGGAACCAAGTCTTGATAACAACTGCTAATGTCTGAGTGTGTGTTACGTGGCAGGCATGTGATAAGGTTACGGTGTATGCTCTCATTTAGTGCTTACAATAACTCGATCATCCCACATTATGGACGAGGACACCAACGGGTGGAGAGGCTGAGAAAGCTCATGCAGTGTAGCGACTGCAGGTTACTCAGTTAACACCCACGGTACCTAGGTGCCTGCCTACCCTTCCTCACAGGAGTCTGACACTGTTCACAAACTCCCCCTTTCACACGGCCAGGGCTTCATTCAGCAGAGGCCGGCCTCCTCCTTAACACAGGAGGTTAAGCCTGACAGTCAAAAGCAAGCATGGACACCACCCATTTTCCAGTGATGCTGGGGGAAGCACGCAAAGCCATTCTGCGATGTAAAGTCTGCTGGGAGCGTCTAAGAAAGATTTCGTCTCAGGTGAAGACACAGCAGGCACTCTTCTTCCCTGACACTGTGGACTTCTTAAATTCTTAGAGGAAATTACTCTAATAGTAACTAAGTCAACTGAGTCCGTTTTTGGTTACGGTCAGCCAGAAGCACCCTAACACGTACAGAGAAAGAGAGGTGGGGCTGTGCTTCCAACATGCACAGGTGACTTCCCAGCCCTCAAAAGTGTGAACACTCGAGTCAGATCTCTCAACTCTGACACTCCTACCTTCAGCACCAATGCCAGCAGGGAAGGAGCACTTGTTAACTCCAACTAAGTGAATAAACAGATGGATGGAGTAGAACTTAAGCCCAGCTTTTAAATAAATTTTATATCCAGTTGTAGGTGAAATATTAGATTCCTATGTAACACTCTTAATAAGTATAAAGTCTGCTGACTCTTAGACAAGACCAAGGTTTAATGTATTTGGAAAACAGTGTATAGTTTACTCAAGTAAACAAAGGAATACTGTAAGCACTAGTTTTCAAGTCCAAATAAATCTCAGAAGACTGGGTCAATGAAAAAGCACAAAAAATTCTGTTTCTGTAAGCCCCTTTCCCAATGACTACAGCACCTATTGGCAATACAACCTTGACCCAAAAAGGCCACCCTCTTTTCAAACTAAAAGCATTTCATGGGAGGGGGGAGGCAGAGAGAGCAAGACACCTCTTCTGCACTTCAAGTCCAGTCCAGTTTTTATTCACAAAAACTCAGTCCTTGGTATATATGGTCAACCTTCACAACTCAGCTGGTCAGAGGACCCTGCCTGCACCTTCCACCGGGCAAGGGCACGGAAAGCCTTGGTTTTTAGAACTGAAGTATAAGCTCCAGGCCATCACACAGAACAGTCCCCGAGAAAACCAGGAAGACATTCCTCATTCAGGAAGGGCCACTCACCAGGGTATCATGACCCACCCGGTGCAGGACACAACATTCACTTCTACCCTAAGGCTGCAAATGCTTTCCAACATAAGACCTTCTCTTTACCGGTTCACTTGGCCTTCTCTCAAAGTGCTGAAAGATAACAATTCTTGATCTCAAACAAAAATCAAAGGAAACTCTACTTCTTCTAGAATGACATGTCTAGGAGCCATAACCTGACCAGGTGTCTTACTGGAAGCCAAGGAATCATGCTGATTGCTCGCAAAGATTTTTTTCCTAAGGACCAATTCGGATCCACGAAGGCAGCCCAGCCACCTGGAGTGCCTTCTAATGCACAGCTTACCTTGTAATTGCTAGAGTTCACCCAAGAGGTAGCGAGTCCATCCACAAGTTTATCTAACATGGTCTGGTCATGCTCAAGGTCAGCAGACTTCTGTTTGTCTGAGAAATAGTCTATGAGTTCTTGGCCAACCTGCAGTCGTTTCCCCACATCCTTCTGCAACACCTGTGCCAGGCAGGACTCCATGCGAGGCTCCATGGTGAATTCAAATTGAGATGCAGCAAAAGCTAGAGGGCAGTCAGGGTGACACCCTCCCAGTTAGTGTACCCGGGAGGTTGCCTCTTTGTTCGCTGAAGGTTACTAAGAGCCTGTGTTTCAAAGATGCAATCCGGGGAATGGCAACAATGCACCATGTGTGTCTGAAGAGCAGCTGGCAGGATATTAAAAGTTCAATTTAAATAACTAGTAGACGATAAAGGAGTGAATGGCAGAGTGCAGTCCTGGTATTGGGTCTGAAATACTTCATAATTCAGCAGTCCATTCTGAAAAGTAGGAAAACAACAAATCAGCACAGATAATGTAACACTCAAATGTTATAAAACACTGAATCAAAGACAAAGCAGTTCATGCTGCAGAATCATTTATAATGGCAAGTGGAAATGAGAATCAGGAATGCTCGGCAATCATATCAGAATAACATAATCATTATATTTTAAGATTTTTTAATTGATTTTTTAGAGGGAGAGGGAGAGGGAGGGAGAGAGAAACATCCATTAAGAGTGAAACATGGATCAGCTGCCTCCTGCACACTCCTTACTGGGGATCAAGCCCACAACTTGGGCATGTGCCCCAATCAGGAATCTAACCAGCGACCATTCACCCAACCAACCAGCACACGGGCCAGGGCCATGGTTACTATTGTTATCAGGAAGAACACTGAAGGCCCAAGCAGAGCCAATGGGCTACACAGTTGGTGGGTTGAGGTTTGTCACAATTTTCCAGCTTATAAATGTACCAGTCAGCAAAGCACTCTCTGCTTTAGCTGGCTTATTTATTTGTAGCTTAAATGTTGCTTCCCACCAAAAACTTAACACCATTCTGTGTCTGCAGCTTATTGACTTCCTCTCAGTTTTCCAAAAACCAAGGGCTGGATATGGGGTTGGCTCCATAGAAACACCATTGACCAAAGTGGTCAGTCTGGTAACATTAGAAGTCAAAGGCAGTCCCTCCATCAAACTTCTTGCTTAGCAGCTTTACAACAGTTGAGCGGCAGCCTTTACACAACCCCTCCACAACAAAGAAAGTAATGACGGAAAGAAGGAAATCGCCTCATATTCTGATCAGTTACTGACATGGAGCTCTCCACTGGCAGACAATCGCTCCACATGGGCCTGGTACTGTTATAAAAGCAGGAGACCTCAAAATCATGTTTGGGGTAGGGCAAAACACATGACAGGAAAAGTACCACAATCCTTTTTATTAAGTGAAAAAGCTGACCATTTAATCTACAGCTGCTGAAGCAATTGTACACGCGTACTTCCTACGTCAATTCCTTTCAATCCAACCTAAGAAGACCCATAGAAAGTCTGCCTTCCAGATGCAGCAGCCCCTGACACTGCTAAAGAGAGACGTCATGCACAGCAACCCTGCACCAGCTCTCAGGGCTCCAGCAGGGAACGCTGAGCTATTACACCAAGTAAGTTCAAAGGCTGTGCGTGGCAGCTCTTCCACTCTGCGCACAGTACTTCCTTCCCTAGCATCACCCAGCCTCATCCCCTCTCTCCGCACACGAAGCACAATGGTCTCTCCGAGTTCCAGAATCAGAGATTTTTTATACCCACAGGAATCATGTAAGCCAGTAAGGAAAATGCTCCCTCAAAGCCCCAGGTGTGTGCTTGCCCGACTCGTGCTTTACTGCGTCTAACAACGCAGCAGGCTGGGGACCGGGAGTAAAACTCACCATCTCACATGGCAAGCCTTCCCCAAAGGGAGGGGCATCTGCTCTCCAGTCAGTTCCACACCCAGGAACCAGTCCCTCCCTCACAAGAAGGATCTGAGATAGATAAAAGCAGCTATTACCCTTCTCTCCAATTTTCAGTTCAAACAAAAATATCTCTAGTTCCTTAACAGCTCATAAGCTGGACTACAGAAGGTATCAGTGATACAGGAAACAGGAGCAACCAACAGAACCTTTTCTTTCCAGGCCTAGTATTAGCCCAAGAAGCAGAACAAGCAAGGTTGGGCTTGTGAAATGGCCACAAATTCTTTGCTACTCCTCCCCCACCAAGGCGTAGTCTGCCACACCCACAGTGACTCTAGAACTGGTCCTGAGACTTGCTGTGGCCAGCTGGAAATCAGCAACTGCAAAGCAAGCAGGGGTTTGACAGCAAGCACTGGAGCCCCTCAGAATGCCGCCTGAGGCTGCCATGCTACCAGGAAGATGCTCTAGCTTCCAAAACGCGAGAGGCCATGTTCTCCAGCCCACTTCGAGCAGCAACGGTCAGGCCTGAGCGAGGCCAGTTGGAACCGGGCAGCCATTCATCGGACTGTAGCTACGCAAATCAATCTAAGGAGACCAGCACCAAATCCACCTAGTCTAGGGTGGGCAACCCCTGGCACGCATGCCAAACATGGCACGCCAGTAACTTTTGCTGGCACGCAAAACCCTCTCTTATAATCTTCCATTTACAATTTTTTTTCTTAAAATCGAGTTTTTTTATTTTTCAGATAAATTCAGTGTAGGTGCATCTTAGATAAATAAATAAGTTTATATAACAAGTTATCTTAAAGACCATAGACATGGATTGACGAGAGAGGGGAAGAGCAATTTCTATGCCTCTGCCTTAACTCTCCCTGCCTTCCTAGATCCAACCAGTGTTTTGGTTTCATCCACATACGCTTGTGAATCTTTGTTCTCAGTGATGAATTTTGTTAAGTCTCGTAATAGGAGTAGCCTGACGGATGAAAGTAGTAGCTTGTGCATATCTCTAAAGGTCACAAGATATAAACCTGATGTAAAATCTCTGTCAGCAGTGATGCAGCAGCAAAAGTCCCACTGATAGTATCAAAAAGAGTCGTAAAGTTTTCTGTCGGACTATCAGTGTACATGTATACATTAAAAAATAAATGTATTTTCATCATCATATACTGTGTTTTTGTCGCTCGAATGAATTTTATTATTGCTTCAAGGTTCCTCACATACGTACACCTTAAGAGATATCAAGTAGGCGTAACATGTTCTCAAAAAATTAGGGTTGGCACGCAGAAGAATTTTGAGTCAGAGATTTTGCTGGTTTTGGCACGCACTCACAAAACGGTTGCCCACCCCTGACCTAGTCAAACCACACCAAGAGATAACTGACCCACTCCTTCCTCCCCTAAACATCTACCTGTCATTCTCAACAGAAAGAATCCCATGTCCTTTACTCCTTCAAGGAGCCTAAAATCAACTGGCACTAACCAATAATGATGATAACACCATTTTAAAGAATCTACCTGGGTGTCAGCTTCCATGCTGGACAATGTATACATACCATCTCTAATTCTCCAACCAACTCTATAAAGTACGTATTAATCCCTATTTTACAGATGAAGGAACTGAGGCAAAGGTAACTTTCCAAGGCCACATGCCCAGTGAGTTTCCTCTCCCCACCTTCAAACCCTTGCTATTACAAGTCTGGCCTACAAGTCTGGCCTAGTTCTGTGCTGACTCAGAGAAAGGAGGTCAGACTTCGTGCTTACCTGGGAAGAATGGGGCAAGACAGCCAAGCCTCCATTCCAGGGAGAAAAATGATCCCGCTCATTCTAGTCTAAGAGTGGCTTATAATATATGTATAATATAAAAGCTCTCTGTTAGAATTCTAGCACAGTCAAAAATTGGCCCCAAATTCCCACGGATCACGTGCAGAATGAAAACCACTGGAAGCCCTAGGCATTGCACAGACCGAGACCCCATTTCCTCTTCCTTTTCTTAATTGAAAAAAAATGGAATGGACAATCCTCTCTTATTCTTACTAAACTGGATTTTGGTACCTTTTCCCCATGCTTTCGAGCACTTTCTCCATCTCAGGTATTCAGGGACTACAGTCCCACGGTCCCGAATTCACAGGGTACACGAGTACAAGACCTCCTTCCCACTGCTGCCCAGCCACCCGATTTCCCTGCCTAAGCAAATAATGACCGCTTTTCTGTGTCTTTCCACAGATATATTTAGATACATAAGCAAATAATTATGCATTCTCCTCTCGGAACCTCCCCCCCACCCCTAGGAAGAAGTTTCTAAGCATTTACAATTGAATCATAAAGAGATCGAAAGCGCCCGGCCAGCGTGGCTCAGTGGTTGAGCGTTGACCTATGAACCAGGAGGTCACAGTTCAATTCCCGGTCAGGGCACATGCCCAGGTTGCAGGCTCCAGCCCCAGTGGGGGGCAAGCAGGAGGCAGCCGATCAATGATTCTCTTTCATCATTGATGTTTCTATCTTTCCCTCTCCTTCTCCCTTCTTCTCTGAAATCAATAAAAATATATCTTTAAAAAAAAGAGATCGAAAGCAAACTGACAAACATATAGGCAAAACTTCATACAGCAACAAAATTACATAAAGACTTAATATTTTAAATAATTCAGAAAACTTAGAAAGTAAACAGGAGAGGATGTGGAGGACTTAGAAAAGGAGGTGCAGGAGGATTTGGAAGATGACCCAGGAGGAGGAAGGAAAAATCTTTTCCTTCCACCCACATCCTGCCCAGGCCCCCTATAGGACTTCCTGCCTGGGTTCCCTATAGGACAGCGGTTCTCAACCTGTGGGTCACGAACCCTTTGGCGGTTGAATGACCCTTTCACAGGGGTCGCCTAAGACCATCCTGCATATCAGATATTTACATTATGATTCATAACAGTAGCAACATTACAGTTATGAAGTAGCAACGAAAATAATCTTATGGTTGGGTCACAACATGAGGAACTGTATTTAAAGGGCCAGAAGGTTGAGAACCACTGCTATAGGACATCCTACCCGGGTTCCCTACTAGGGAAGAGTGCAAAAAGGAAACTAAGGTCTGAAGTTCACCTGGAACCAGGAACCACAGCAGTTACCGATGGGTGAGCTAAATAAAAATGAGGTATGTTATGTGTATGGCATTACTGAAAGGCCCAGGGACACAAGAACAAACAGGACACAGCCAGGGCCCAAGGTGAGCTTCTGGACTAGTTCATTCACGAGTGGGGTCCCAGCCTAGCCAGCAATCAGGGCCGATTGGGCCTGGCCGGCCAGGGGGAGGGATTGTGGGAGGTTGGCCGGTCACGGGAGGTTGGCTGTGGGAGCACACTGACCATCAGTGGGCAGCCCCTGCATTGAGCATCTGCCCCCTGGTGGTCAGTGCATGTCATAGCTACCAGCCAGTCAGCCGGTCAGCTGGTCGGGCCAGTCATTCGGTCACTTAGGCTTTTATCTTATCTAATAAAAGAGAAACATGCAAACAATAAAGATTTAATCTAAAAAAAAATTTTTTTTTAAAAAAGAGAAACATGCAAATTGACCATAT